CAACTTTCATTTAACAGTCCGGCACTTAACCATTTTCATATCCAAGGGGATCTTTTATACTTATTAAGTAAATGAAATAAGTGTAAAACACACAACCCCATAGAAGTTCAAAATAAATCAGATACTACTCATATGTTATTTACCTATGGGTGCTTTGTCAGTAAAAACAAGTGATTTTTTTCCCCTTTTGTTAAACTTGACAGTTAATTTTATTAATTAAATTAATGTTAATGACTCTCTATGGAAACCCAAAAATCCAATGCTGTTAAGTCAATTCCTACTCTACAGTGTAGAGTGGAACTGCTCCATAAGGTTTCCAAGATAGTAGTCTTTCCAGAAGCTGACTGCCACATCTTTCTCCTCATAGACAGGCTGCTGAGTTTGAATCACCAACCTCTTGACTAGCAGCCAGAACTTAACCACTCCACTACCAAAACAGTTACATCACATCTAATGTTTATTTTCTTTTTTCTTGATCTCAAAACAAATCTAACAAGGTTTCTAGTTTACGACAATATATCTTACTCTTAATTTAAGTATTATACAATGTCTGTGGCCTTCACGTATCCTTTTGGATCACTCAAGAGGTAAAATCACTTTTTGTATTCAGCCTTTTATAGCTAATAAACAAGTAGCTAAGAAGGTTGGGCAATCCTACTTCCGTAGTGATACTGCCTCTGAAACCCAAGGAGGGGTCGCTATGAGTCGGGGCCGACTCAACAGCACATAACAACAACAACAACAAGATATTACTTAGAAAGGGCCATTCTACTCTTAAATTGTCAGGTTCATAAGGTTAATCTATCATTTTAAATAACTCATTCCTTGTCTCAGACAATTATACAACACCTACCCCTCTTTACCAATCACCCAGCTCCCTACAACAAGCAGTACCTCTAGAATGCCCCACCTGCACTGGTCTTCTCTGGTTGGCAACTGCCTAGCTAAGCACACTGAATTCCTCCCCATATCTTGTCCTTTGGACTACATTACTTCTCTCCATATGAGCCTTCACACATTACCCTTACCAACTATAAATATACCCAACATATTACTAAAGAGTTAATACTTGCATTATTCCTTCATATTAGACATTCTCTTACTTTTCATTTGTTATGCTAATCTTATTTACCAAACTTTTAAAACAATGTAGTGTTTATACTATATTTATATATAATAGGCATGGTTCTATATATTAAATGTACATATATTAAATGACCTAATTGTTTAACTAATTTAAATTTTAGAAGACTAATAAGAACCTGGGAGCTCTTGTAGCATGGTGGCTAAGGCACTTGACTGCAAACCAGAAGCCTGGCGGTTTAAACCCACCAGCCGCTCCTGGGAAGGAAGGTTGGGCAATCTACTTCCATAGTGATATCAGCCCAGAAACCCAAGGTGGGGTTATGAGTCAGGTCTGACTTGACGGAAAACAACAACAACAGCAAATAAGAACCTAGATGAAAGTAGATAATTGTGCTGAAATATTATGAACAATTATATGGGAAAATAAGAAATTATAAATAGATTGCTAAAATGGGTAAGCTAGAGGCACAGCATGGGGAAGGATAGGAAGCGATAAAATGAAGGAAAACTAAACAATAAAAAGAATTAAACAAATTGTATATACGATATGTTAATATTTAAGAACTAAATTTTCTGCACAAGTTGTTTATAGAGGCACCTAACCTTTAGAAAGTCCATGATGCACTGAGAGAAAAAGGAAGCTGCAGAGAACTGTAAACACAGCACAAAATCCATACATACTTGAGGTGTGTGTACATACATGTGTACAGTTATGTGTGTGTTGAAACTCTTCTGTAAGAAGATGAAAAGAATGGAGGAGATTGAGACATATTTTGCTGTTTACTTTGTTTTTCTCAGGACTATAGTCCTGTATAGGAGCTCTGGTAGCATAGTGCCTAAGGCACTTGACTGCTAACCAGAAGGCTGGTGGTTCAAACCCACCATCCACTCTTCGGAAGGAAGGTTGGGCAATCTACTTCTGTAATGATACTGCCTTGAAAACTCAAGGAGGGGTCGCTATGAGTCAGGTCCGACTCAATGGCACATAACAAAAACAAAACATAACCTTGTATATGGGGATACAGCATAGTATCTCAGTGTACATCTGCATATAATTTTACTTGGTTCTTCAAACGTGTTTTTTTTTAATGTGATAAATATTAAAAGAAAAATGTTTGAAAGGAAAGTGTGACATGGAAGTGATGAATGGGAATAAGTCTGGTTAGAAGATTTCAATTTTTACCTCAAGGCAACAATTCATTCATTTATATGTAAGACTTACTGACCAGAATGAATTAATACATTTTCTGAATCATAGATTTCTGAGTATTATTTAAAAATCACAGTAATCTCTACTTATATATCAAATTCCATTGAAATCTTTTTAAATTTACAGAAAAGAGAGACTTTTGAAAACAAGTATGAAACACATTTCAAGATGGCAGACTGATACACAAAATATATTTAAGTTGTCCCTTTGGAGTAGTACACACAGTTTCCTCTAAAATAATCAATTACTTTGAAAGATTTTATAAGTAGCCAACTCAAAATTTCATTCATACTTTTTTTCATTCAAAACTTCTTTGTCCAAAGTGACTAAAATCAAGTATAATTTGAAACTAATTTGCACCCTTAATTTCCTATTACTTTCCTGGGAGCTCCGGTGGAGTCAACTTCACGGCAGTGAGTTTATTAGTTTCCTAATATGAATTGATAAGATTACACTAATTTTAATTATTCTATAACATAATTAGGAGTTCTGGTAGAGTAGTGCCTAAGGCATATGACTGTTAAGCAGAAGGCTGGTGGTTCAAACCCACCAGCCACTACTGGTAGTGATACTGCATCAGAAACCCAAGGAGGGGTCGCTGTGAGTTGGGTCTGACTCTAGGGCAGTGAGTTTTTTGTTTTTTTTTTTTTAGTATAACATAATTGTTATGTGAATTAAGGAAAAGGAATATGTGTTTAGGTATCTACTGGAAGAAAGGTAATGTCCTGTTATTTTTATATGTACATTTAAAAAAATAAATTTTCTTATCTTTTGCAATTTTTCTTTTATTCCATATTATCTATACCTGCTATTTTTTGTAAGATTAACATAAAAATTTTCATCTAGTTGTAGTATCTAAGACATTGCCAAAAAAAAAAAAAGGTCACTCAATCTTGTATTTGTTTATCACCATTTCATGCATGTTAGGTATAGCATTCATCTTGGATTTCTATATGGTTTAGCATGTTCTCCATTATTTTTGAACTGCTGTCCCAAGTTAACTTTCCTCTGGAATTTATCTTAATAGAGATAATCAAATACCTTAGGTTTGCCTAAGGTGAAGATTACAGTAGGCTTGATGCCACAGAAATGATAGTTTCAAAATCTACAGGAACCTAATTATCCCAGAATGCAAAGATGTCCCCGGTTTTTAGGCCACATCAGTTGTGCACAGGTGTGAAAGCTTTGCAGTACAATTAATACTGTTAAATGAGGACCCATAAGGAATAAACCTTAAGGTCATAAGAGCAAAAAAAACAAATACTCCAAGTTTCAACAATTCTAATATGTTTTCATTTGAAATTCAGAGACTTTATAACAATCAGATCTCAAATTCAGATCTCAAATTTTCCACTTTTATTTAAAAGAGTATTTACTTATGGAAAGGAAGGCATTTGTATGGGCTGCCTTGAACGGCTCAGGTTTTCTGTTTCAAGAATCTGCTTTTATGAAGGAATTGATACTGAGTCGACTCAACACATAGCAACCCCACCTTGGGTTTCAGAGGTGGTATCTCTACAGAAGTGGATTTCCCAGACTTCTTCTGAGGAGTGACTGGTGAGTTTGAACTGCCAGCCTTCTGGTTAGCAGTCAAATGCCTTAGGCACTATACCACCAGGGACACCTATTGAGAAAAAAAATACAATAACTATGTGCTGAAGAAGCATTGCCCAGCTTTTAAACACACACATTTAAAAGCTTGTTTTTAATTCTATTTTGTAGCATATACCATAAACTTGACAGGAAATTCAACTAAGACCTTATTAATTTGTATCCTGTTATTTCTGATAAGGAAGCGTGTACATATATGCTTTCACATCCATATGCAAACAAGTTTTACTAGGACAATTCTGACATGTTTACTGATTAGAGGCACAGTTCCCAGAGAGACACAAGCTAGTCCCCATTTCTGAACTTTCTGAAGGCCATCCATATCAAAGGATATGCTCCCAGTATCATAAGTTCCATCATGTGTGCCTCTAAACTCTAAATAAAGCCAGTGCAATGAAACCCTAGTAGAGATGCAATGGAATGCTAGTAGAGATGGTCCAATGAGATTATTAACCTGATTCTAAACTGATACACTCACAGGATCCTCCTTTGTAATGAAAAAGAAATATGCTCTCTAATTTATATTTGTGGGAGCTCTGGTAGCATAGTGCCTAAGGCACTTGACTGCTAACCAGAAGGCTGGTGGTTCAAACCCACCAGCCACTCCTTGGAAGGAAGGGTGGGCAATCCTACTTCCGTAGCGATACTGCCTCAGAAACCCAAGGAGGGGTCGCTATGAGTTGGGGCCTACTCGAAGGCAAATAACAACAACAACAACATAATTAAAATATGCTCTATTGGTATTGGAAAGAACTTTGTTTCCTACTTTCACATTCCAGTATGTAGTGAAAAAGTGAGTCAGTTTCTGAAAACAAAAAAGAAGCATGTAGAAACCAAGTCCCCCCTTATAGATAAAGTCAATAAGGAGATAAATATTGAGGGAAAAAGGAGACATCTTACATAATACTTTTAAAATAACAAAATTTGTGGTTTGATTTAATATTTTTGGTTTCTTACGAAAGTTACACACATCCCTGGTATCTCTATTGTTTACTGGCATGCATCATTTTATTCCATGACAGATCTACTAAAAGACCCTTCCTGGTTTTGGTTTTGTTTTTCCCTGAACTATCATATTTCATCTCATTTACAGTTGTGGACAAGGATGGAAAGGAAATCGTTGCCACATCAAGTTTGACCCTCCTACTATTACAGACTTCGCATACATGCAGAATAGTAGGTGACATTATGACTAAACAAATCACTTAAATTTTGGTTCTCTAATTTTGATTTTTCAGTGCAAATTTATCTTTTTCATTGGCTTAAAATTCCAGATATATGGGCTTTCCTGGGTATCGGACTGGCTTTCCTGATGATTCATATTACAGTGGCTGTCTTGTGTTTTCTTGCAAACAGAAAACCACCAAAAAGGTAAGAGATGCCTTTAATTGCAGGATAAAATATACTGTAGCAGAACAGTTTTTGAGACATTTTATATGCTGTGTTTCCTTTCACCCCATATTACATTCAGGAAGCTTTAATGTTTCCATAGTTTATGGTGTTAAATTTCTGGGCAGAAAGTAGAGGCCACCACAGTATGATCACTCCTCTTCTTCTTCTTTTCTTTCTTTCTTTTTTTTTTTTAGTAAAAAGCTTTAAGTTTACTTTTAATATTATGTTAGGAGCATTTTTGAGGAGACCAAAAAGAAAGAACTTGGCACTCTCCACAGACTAAAAAGAAATAGGGGGACAAATGCACCCTTTTCTGGTGGTATCAGGGGGAAGCTGCAGAACCTCAAAGGAGAAGCTTTCTTGACTTTCCCAAGGAGGCCAAACTCTAATCACCAATGTTCAAAGCCAAACAGAGGTTAAGAGCTACTCTACCTGAAGAAATTCTATAGCCTGGGCCCATAGATTACTCAGAGAACTTCACAATCTATAATAAAAGACCCCAGGAGCTTACTATAGCCACATGTGGAATACACGTCACCTCTGTAATGAAAATTATTTATTTTCCCACAAACTCAGCAAGATAAGAGCTCAGGAAAGGGTTTAATAATTTTTTTTTTTTTAATTAAAGAGATAAATTATCTTTTCCTTTAATTGAGATGAGATTTATATAACATAAAATTAACCACTTTAAAGTGAATAATTCAGTGATATCTAGTACATCTACATTGTTGGATAACACCATTTCTATCTAGTTCCAAAACATTTTATCACCCCAAAAGGAAACCCCATACCTATTAAGCAGTTACTCCCCATTCCTCCTTTCCCCAGCCCCAGGAAACCACCAATCTCCTTTCTCTCTTGATATTTTATATAAAAGTGTCATACAATATGTGATAGTTTTTGACTGGCTTTTTACCCCTTGTATGCCTCTAAGTCTGTGCTCAGAGATTTAGATCTGCTGCATTGCTCATGTATCACAGAGCAATGGCTAACTCTTCATTTTCCTTGGTGTCCACTTTTATGTTCCACTTAATGAATTCTTGGATCCTTAGCCTTAAATCATGTTAATTAATAGGCACCAATCCTGATACCATTAATAAAGACCAAGTTATTATGGTGTTCATTAGAAAAAGTTATGACATTTTTAATCTATTTCTATTAAGATTTTATCTAATTCCTCAAAGTTCTCAGTTACTTTTACAATATGCCAGGCTATGTGGATACAAAAGGAGCTCTGGTGGCAAAGTGCCTAAGGCATTTGACTGCTAACCAGAAATTTGATGGTTCAAATCCACCAGCCTCTCCACAGGAAGAACTCTGGGCAATCTACTTCGATAAAGATTTACTGCCTCAGAAACCTAAAGGGGGTCGCTATGAGTTGGAATTGACTTGATGCCAGTAAGGGTTTTTTTTTTTTTTTTTTTTAATGTGGATATAAATGTGAAACAGATACAGTCTGTATTTAAGGCAGTTTGTAATCTAGTGAGACAGACACTGAGCTACTAACATAACAGTTGTATTCTCTCTCTCTCTCTCTCTCTCTCTCTTTCTCTCTCTCTCTCTCTCTATATATATATATGTGTGTGTGTGTGTGTGTGTGTGTATGATAACTATGTTAACAAAACCAGTGAAAGCACTCAGAAAGAATCCCGAATTTCACGTTTTTACTATATTGATGTTGAACAACCTATACTTTCAGGGCTACCAAGAGATCTCAGGCAAATGTTGGTGGCATCATGCCAGAGTCTGACAGAGCCACCTCTCCTTTCTCTCCTCTTTATCTGTCATTCTTCACGTTTACACTTTTTCCTCCTCTTTGTTCTTCACTTTCCTTCTTTGTTCAATTCTTTCTATTTTCCCCTGTTCCTTTACCCATCCTTTCTTCATTTTCCTTCTGTCTCCTTGCTACCACCTCCCCTCCTTTTTTTTATTTTCAGTTTCTTCGTTGTCTTCTTCCCAGTCCTTATTTATTGATGTATTCCAGAGTTTGCCTATATATCTGCTACTTTCCCATGCTACTCATTCTTCATGTGATATGTCATTCATTTCCAGGTTTTCCAACATAATCTATATGTTAATGGCTAGAAAAAAAAAATGCTTTCTTATTGAAAATGTTTACTAAGCTCTAGATTGACACCATCTTTTCAACCATTTGTTAGACTTCAACATTATAAGTTTTTCCTGAAGTTCACATATTAGAAGTTAATGCCCATTATTTCCATATCCTGGTAATTACCTTTGGAGTCTCAGGAATAAAAGGTAACTTCATTATTTGAGATGGAAAACTTAGATATACTGCTATTATCACTGTATTAAAACACTCACCCATCTGATAAAAACAACCCCTCATGCACAACTGTCACAGGAAATTTAATGGAATTAGCTGTGCCCCTCATATAAGAGTCTTCAAGTGGCATGCCTTTTAATGAACTGCCAAAGATTACCAGTAATTGAAGTCAGATGCCACCCCTAAGACTTACTAACACAGTGCAGGACCATTTCAATTGTAATTACCCAATCTTTCAACTCTCTAGTGTACATAAGGAGAAAACCAAAAGGGTAAAATAAGAAGGATTTTTGAAGTCATTGTCTTTGTCATAATGTGGTATTTATTGTGAGGAGTTTTGACCCCTTTTTCTGGTGAAAAAGGAGAAAAGCTGTTCAAAGCCAATTGATGGAAGGGCTCCAAGAGAATCAATGGCTAAGATTGGTAGTGCCTAGAAAAAAGGAAGATTGACATCTGACTCCTAGGCTAGATGCTTTCTGAGGTGCAAAACCTGCTTCCTTGTACTGCATGAGAGCAGAAAGTAGAGAAAAAGTTCTTAGTGTATGACATCTAGACAATGTTTGATCTGCTGTTCTGAAAGTAGGTGGCATCCTGCTCCAGCTGGACTTAAAAGGATCATGATGTCCAGGAAAAACGTGGAAGAAAGGCAGAGAGAAAATTAAGCTGCATCTCACTTGTGACTGTCTTTCATAAAGCCATAAAGCATTGAAGATGAGCTGGAGTTTCTTTCATATAAACATAAACTGGAATTTCTTTTGCATAGAGAGACATTGTAGTTGCAGGGTTGTTCAGGTAGTAGCATTTCAGGTGAAGTGATGCCCCACCTGGACAGGTGTTGGAGGAAGGACTGGGCTAAAGGTAGATACAGCTGTCCCTTTTTTAAAAGGTTTTCCATAAGAGGCCCAAGTGAAGTTGATTCACACACTCTCATGAACACCAGAAATTTGTACACTATCATCATGGAGGAGCTCCGGTGGTGTAGTGCCTAAGGCATTTGACTGCGAACCAGAAGGCTGGCGATTCAAACCCACCAGCCACTCCTCGGAAGGAAAGTTGGGCAATATACTTCAGTAATGATACCACTTCTGAAACCCAAAGAGGGGTCGCTATGAGTCGGATCTAACTCAGTGGCAGTGCATTTGGTGTTTTTGGTTTTTATCATCATGGAGGCCACTTTCACAGCAAAGGCCATCAAACAATCAGAACTGCACTAATCCATTGGGCACTGAGAGGTGCATTCCTACAACTGTCAAGTGATCAGTTGCATAAGAAGTTTCCACCATCCCCTTTCCCTCTTTTCTGTGTCTACATCACAGAGCTCCACCTTGAAAAGAAAGGGGAAGGAGGTGAAGGTGTTTCAGAGCCATTCATGACCCTCACCCTCTTCTTCACTTCAAAAAGCTAGAGTCAAGCTTCAATTCTGTAATGGGGAAAGGACAGAAGACAAATAACACTTAGAATCTCCAAGACATTTATTAGGGTTAAAGTATACTAGACTATGTTTAATCATTAAAAATGACCATAAAATTATGAAATTTGCCCCAGATATGTGAATTTGACCAGGAAGTAGGGAGAGGCATTAACAGTAGGAAATAATATTTGCAAAAAATAGAGTAGCACTTTCATGTTTATAAGCCATCTACATAGGAGACCTCAATCAATCCATTACCCAAGTCTTAGCCTCTTCTCTCTAATAGATGTGGGATTAGGTCCATCATCCCTATGAAAACCTGTGTCTAAACCTCTGTTTTACCTCCCTACCATTTTCCCTTCTCTTGGTTCTTTCTATTCTGATTTCTAAAATCTCAAAACTAAAGGTTTAATTTCCTATTACTCCTCAAAACAATTATCACACAGACTGTACTTTTACTTTTGTTACAATAGATTAATCACCCATTACACACCTTGCACTGGGGAGCAAATGGTTATGTTCTTCACCAGCTGGAATGAAGAGAGAGGGAGATCCTTAAATGAACCACATACCAGACTGGCCTCTGCCCAAATGATGGGCAGACGGAAACCCAAGCTGTCACAGTTCTACCAGGGGTCTTCAGGCTACAGTGTGTTTCCTGAGTTCTCAGAGAGTTTTCAAGAATATGTTTATATACAATGTTGTGACAATTGAGCTTGATGTCCCCCAAGACAATGTTCCCCAGCCCTCAGGCCCAGTGACTATGGGCTTGAATAGTTTCATAAAATTCCTTGGAGTAATTTTACAGATCCTCAAATTTCATATCTTCGCTACTGAAGTGTATGTAATTGAGAAAGATGCACTTGCTTGCTTGTCCTCCTTTCTCATTTCCTTCTCAATTATCCTTCTCTTTACCTGGAAACAACCCTCATCTTACTAAAATAATCTTAGAGCATAAAATGGCATCTGGAGGTGAAACAGAGGGAGTATCTGAGAATGCAACCCTCCTGAAAAGTACAGTAGCAAGAGGAAAAAATTGAGCTAAGATGTGTTTTTTTTACATTTTTATTGTGATTTGGGTGAAATTTCACAAAGCAAATTCATTTTTCATTCAACAGTTCATTCATATTTTGTATTGTGACACTGGTTACACTCCTCACAGTGTCTCCTCCCACTTCGTCCCTGTAGTTACCCTTTTCCTGTGTCCTTCTTGCCTATGAATTCCTGTGTCCCTAACTTTCTCCCTATGCAAATGCTACCCTTCTGATTTCCCACGGTTGA